GGTGGAGTCGGATCTTTAACAGACAATATGCGTGTCTAAGGCCACTTTTCGTAATATACGGTTATCTAAAGATAAAATATTACCAGGAAATTCATGAATGAATTTCATTGAATCTCTTAGTAACATTTAATTTTTAGATATCATACATGTGAAAATGAGCTTAAGAGATGTCATAAAGATATCATAAAACGTTTTTTTAGATCAAAAAGATGTGTAAAAGACATCATAAAAAGATCTTCTAGAGTCTAGAAGATCTCTTTATAATGTCTTTTACAAATATTGTTTAGAATCTAGACAATACGTATTGTCTTGTCGTCTGAGTTTGTTCAGTTCATCTTTCACATGCTCAATATACAAAATGGATAAGAAAACAAATAATATAAAACTTCTGTTTATTTATAGATAAGAAATATAATAAAGTTTATTAACTGATTTTAAATAATTACAATAAAAAAAACGCTTTGAACACTTGATAAAGTAGTGAATCGCAACTCTGATGTCACAAAAGGATATTTTGACGATCTAATAAAATCATTTTAAGATCTGTATTTAGGTACTAATTTTGTAGATACTTCAACAACATTGTTCTTTCTGTGCAGCAACAGGTACATTAAATGAGATCGCCATGTTTCGTGATAACACTACAAATCCAATTTTTTCCAATGTTTTCATAGAATAAGTATTTTCATATATGAATATATACTATGCGTGATTTAGTTTTCCATATAAAAAATTACACTACATTACACATTATATTTTAAATGTGTAAATCCATTTATGTAGTATAGTGTTATTTTTACACGGAAAATTAAATCACAGAAAGATCGGTTTTGCTGGAATATCTAAAAATTTAGTTAGATGCAAATCTGAAATAATTTTGTTTGGATCATTAAAATAATTATGCAAGATGCGTAATTATTAATTATAAACTGCTTATATACCTAATGCTTGTATTACACTATTGGTTGAAAATTGGGTCTGCATTCACGTTTGTGTCTCCTGACCAATTAGAAAAGGCTACTGGCCAGCAATTCCTTTCTTCTGATGCCATTACAGACATTAAAATGGTTGCGTTCAACAAAGAAAGTAATTTTGCAATTATTGTAAAATTCTTTAATATGATTGGTTTATATATTTAGATCCAGTGAAGAATTAAACGCAAAATCAATCATATTAAAAAATTTTACATAACAGTTGCAATATTAAAACTTTTTTGTAACATTATCATCAACGTTTAAACGTTTTATATAATTATTTTAATGTTTAATAAAATTATTTTAATGTTTAATAAAATTATTTTCAGATCTGCATTTATAGCTAAATTTTTAGCTTATAAAAACTTTAAAAACTGTTCTTTTTAGTATATATGAAGATATTTTATCACATACTTGGATTTATAATGAAACTATCTATAATCGAATTATCAGTGGATAATCTGATATCAGTTCTAAGCATGCCATTAGTAATCACTGAATGAAAATGGAATCCCTATCTAATTAACCTTATATAACTCTAATTAACCTTACTTTAGTACATATAAATTTACTTTATATGTACTTTTTAGTAATATAAATTCAATGTATATGATATTGGAAGATTGGAACTGACATGCAAATAACGATATTTTAATTATATAATATCCACACTTTCTTTCTTTTTCAGTTGAATTTCGCTTTTATCCAGTACCAAATATATACCACTAGATAAATCAATTATCCACTAATTCAGATTTAGAGAGAAAAAAAATATCCAAAAGATATCCACGTTGGAGCAGCCCGGTGACTCGTCGATAGTCACGATAAAAATTCTCCCATTGCCAATCGGAGTCGACAGAGAGTTCGCCGATGTGACTGACCTTCGCAAATCCCGTCACTGAAACTGCGACCGCCGTCGCATTTTCGTTGCCGTTGCATGACGAAGGTATGCGAAATACATATCGACCCGTGTTAATACGTACGTCAGTGCGGCGCGATTCAGCTGGTGAATATATAGAGACTGTCGTCGACCGCTTTATTTTTACGCGCGTGCTAAAGACGCTCTATCACTTCGTTCGCCTTGCTTCGAATTCGCCGCGTACGACGGACGAGTGTGACGTCTCAATTAACATTCTTCGTTGTCCTCCACTCTCTTTCTGTATCCCCTCTTTCTGTCTTTTTCTCTCTTTATCTCCGTGGTTCTGAATTCCTTTTCGACAAGGGGACCACGGAATTCGAGGCGAGTTTCGAATGAAGACCCGAGAGATCTCTTCTCGAGAATGGCGCTCTATTTGTAGAACAGGGAACAAAGGGAATAAAAGCAAGAAAAAATAAAAAGATATAGAGAAAAATAGTAAAGATATAAAGATGAAAAAGGAAGGAAAAGCGAAGAATAGAAGAGTCTCTGAAATTCTTGTATCCGAACTCGCAGTCTCTTATGTTCTCGGTTGCACCATAATAATCAACGTTATGAAAGTATTATTCACGCATGTTATAAGAACAAAAAAACAAAGAAAGCTTCGTTTGAGAACTAGAGACCTTATTGAAAAATTTTAATAAATATTTCTAATTACAATTACATTAATATTATTAATGCAATTATTTTATAATGTAATTATTAATGTAATTATATTATTAATATCTTAGAACATGTGAATACACAACTAATTAGGAATTTTTCTTATCAGTTGTATAATTACATGTTGTTGTAATTACATTACATGTTATTATAATTGTTACTGCTAAATAATAATAATAATAATAGTTCTATTAACAAATATGTATAGCTGGCAACCAAAACTGACTATATAATGAAAGTTATTATTACTATAAAAAAAACTATAAATAATATATTACAACTATAAATAATATATAAGTTAAATATTTTTGAGACCATATCACAGTTAAATCTAGAGTATCAAATTTAATCTAATTTAAGCGTTTTTCACTGGCAAAACTCGTACACATTAAATCTGAATGTAAAAGTGAGATATTTCAATTAATAAAATACCCAATGTATATTTTATCAAATAGCAGAATAAAATGCATTGAGGATTTAGCGATTTAATTCGTTTCTATATTTTTATTAAACATACATTTATACGTCGATTTGTGTACAACGGTTTTAAAGCGCACTGACAATGAATACGCACAAGCTCTGTCAGTGAAAAACGCTATATCATCACTGCTCTTATTAAATATATTGTTAATTTATACTAAAACGATAATTAAATTTGACACTGTAAATTTAATAGTACATGGTTGTTCCAAATATTTAACTAAAAAATATTTAACTAAATTGCGTCATAAGATCTCTAATTCGAACGAAATAATCAGACATGATATCAGCGCTTCAGTAACGGCGGAGCATGAACCGCGCGATTATTTCACAAATAAATAACAAAGGCAGGTGTAAACGAGGTGTCTTCGAAAGCACGATGGGGAGGGAGTCGGAGGGACAGAGAGAAAGAGAGCGCGAAAGAGAGAGGGAGGGAAAACAAAAGGAGTAGCGAACGTAAGCGAGCGAGCGAGCGGGACGACACGCTCGCTCACGCTCGTCCACGCACGAACGAACGCATACGCGCAAGCGCCTACGAGTCAGCTGGTTAAAAACAGCTGTGGCCGAAACGTCGACAAAGCGGATGATTTCGAGACGGGTTAAATGTCCGCCGTGCGATAATAAATGTACGCGGGCGAGTTTTTTCTTTCCCAACATCTAACTTGCTACTCTCGCGAGTTCTTGCCAGCAATCGCCGGCAATAAATGTCGATTATCATGGTGATTATTGTTCTCGATAAGCGAGCCAGCGATTCGCTACATGCACGCATACATTTATAACGTTGGGTACAGAGCGCTGAAAAAAAAACTGAATGCACGAGCTTGCGAATTGATAGTTAAAAGACAAGAGGTCAGACAAGAGTTTTTTTTTTTAATTTCAATAAAAGTTTAATAGTCTATAAAGAAAAATAATGGAAAAAGGTTTTTATCCTTAATGAAATCGCTTTTCTTTATAGATGTCCTTGGTTGAATTCTTAAATTTTCATGAAACTTTAATGGTCTATACAAAATGAAATGAAAACGTTTGATTTTTAATGAAATCATTATTCTTTATAGATTTTAAGTTGAATCTTTACTTTCTATGCAACTTTAATCTACAAAAAACGATCTATGTTTAATGGAAATATTTCAATCTTTTTAATGAAATCATTATTCTTCAATATTCATAGTTTTTCCGCCGATACAGATTTACTTATCATCTTTTTAATTTAAAAAAGAAACAGGGGGAAAATTTTCCACAAATATAAGACCCCTGAAAGACTTTTAGATTATCATTTAAACAAAAACAACTAACGAATTCTTATCTTTCTGTTTACACCAACTAAACGTTAATGGAAAGGAATTTAAACGCGACGGTCGATCGTGCCTACATTGGATGTCAAAATTAGAAAACTAGAAATTAAAATTACGAAACTAGATAATGACTGCACACTCCAAAAAAGAAACATAGATTTTTCACGTATCAGATCAACGCAAAAGGTTCGTCACATTTGTGAAACGAAACATTCGGAAACAAAGCATCAACACAGAATCAAGGTAAATCATCTATGTGGCATAGTCCTTTTCTCATTCGGAAAGAAATGTTTTCAATCTTCTCTTCACAAAGGGAACTCCAATTCTCTATCATCATTCAATAAAACAGAACTCGGTGGAAAGATGCCAAACCTTTTGCGTCGACTCAATAGACCAAAAGGATCCCATCGCGAGCGAGAGGTCTACTCTCGCGTAGCTTTTCAGCACCCTGTATAAAACACACGCACGAAGGCAGGCAGGCAGGCAGGCAGGCAGGCAGATACATACACGCACAAAGAGACGCGCGCATGCAAAGAAGAGGCGCATTCGCGACTCGCTCTCACGTGTGCGCCGCCACACAACATAGGTATAGAATCGCACGAGGTACTTATCGGACGCAGCATAGAGGAAGGGGGGAAGTGGGGGGCCTTTCATAAAGCAGCTCTCCAAGGATACAGTTTGATAACGTCCGTGTCCATGCGTCGCTTGCCGGCGCTGGGGGACGACATATTTATCGGTGCTGCTCGCTCGTCGGCGGTGCTGAGTTCGGCAGGGGCCCTTCCTCGCCCCGCGGCGCTCCTGGTAGCGTCCTCCACCACTACCTCTCCTTCCGCCGCCTCCTACCGCTGCGCGTGGATCAGCTGAGCCCGACAGGCACTCCGTCGTGCCCCGGGAGGGCCCTCTGGACAAACGCCTCGTCAATTATCCTTCTTCAGCGAAGGAACAATTATCCTTCTTCAACGGCCAACTCCTGCGGCCCTGTACTTCGGCACTCTGGTGACGCGCACTTCTGTCTCCAACGTTAATGTAAACCGAGCTTATATTCAGCGCACTGAACGACCGAGAGACAGAAAAAGAGAAACAGAGAAAGAGAGAGAGAACGTTAGTAGCGAAGAAGGGAGCGCACGGATATACGAAAGGGGAGAAAGAGAGAGAGAGAGAGATGCACACGGACGTTGCGCGACGGACGAAGAGAAGGAAAAGAGATAAGAAAAAAATAAAGACGGCACGCTCGTAAACGCAAACAATCAACCAGTTGATCGACAGATTCCTTCTTCGAAGGCTCGCCCTGACGAAGGGCGAGTAACGCGAGGCGAGGTGAGATTCGCGAACGATCGACTTCGATTCGACGCGGGTGAACGCGATGTGGAACAATCCGCCGTGAGGTGAAAACTGCGTTCGTCCGAATGCTGCGCTGCGTTGCGTCCGTCTTTCTTTTCTTCCTTTCTTCGTTTCCCTCCTCCACAAAGCGCGCTGTGAGCGTCGCGTGTGCGTCCTCTCCCTCTCTCTTTCTCTGTCGTTGTATATGTGTATATAAACGATTCGTGCGTCTCTTTCTCTCTCCCCTCGTTCGCTCTCTGCCCGTGGAAGAAAAATCTCAAGTACTACCAGAGGCGAGAAGAATTGTTCACCTTCTCTTTTAAAGGGTCACCTCCTGCTCCAAGTACTCCTCGCGTGGATCAGGCCAAGGAAGCCACAGGGAGGCTAGAGGATCATTTCGTCAACGTCGATGACGAGATCGTCGCGCACGTCAACTGCCCGTGTTCCTCTCACTCGCGGGTCGCTTTCTCTCTCTTTCTCTCTCTCTTTCTCTCTCTTTTCTTTTCTTGGCTCGCGTGCGCGTATACACGGAAAAAACCGTCCCCGTCCTCCTGCCAGAGAGAGAGCCTAACGCTAACCGCCGTCACGTAAACGCCTGTTCCTTCTCTCTCTCTCTCTCTCTCTCGCGCGCGCGCTCCCTCGCTCTCTCTCTCTCTCTCTCACTCTCTCGTGCAACCCGCGACCTGTCAATCCACGATCTTCGCCACCATCTGATTGCGTTCTCGTCGCTTGCACACTGGACTCTCCTGGCTCAACCGACGCTGCTGCCTCCGACGAGCGACGACAGCAGCGCTCGGCGCGTGCGCACCATTTCTTTGCGAAAATCTCTCCAGCTTCTCGAGTGAAGTTATCCGAATTTCCGAACAAATATATAACACGTCGCCATCTTCCATCGCTAGCCGTGCGGCGGGTATTTTAATTCTTTATAACCCGGATTTTGAAATCACTTACTAATCTTATATTTATATCCTGTATTTGATATGAATACTAATTAGTAATTTTCTATTAAATTCTCTTAATTTCGGAGATACATGTAAACATATACATGATATGTGTATTTAGTTAATCATTTTGCATATTGTATCATGTTTACTACATCATTCTTTAAATACATTGCTAAAATTAAGATAATTTTATAGAAAATTACTATGCGCATCAAGTACTCAGTGTAAATATATTGATATTGATTTAATTTTAAAAACAATTTTTTACATAAATTATATAAATTTTTTCATAGTCACGAAACAATTTTGGACTTAAAGGATACCGATATTTGTGAAGGAATAATTTTGCCTGAAATATATAAGAATTTAACCCTTACAATACATAGTACAATTTGGTGCCTCATCTATCCAAATATGGGTCACTAGAATCTTCGTCCGTTTTTTTACACCTATTCAAAATTTAGATTCAAAAAATGTTAACATACTTTCAATTTTCTAGAATAAATATTGATTTCATTTTGGAAAATAATAAAATGTGGTATAATTATTATAATTGCCGAAAGACTCAAAAAAACTTACACGAATGGAAATCACTCAGCCATTAGTGATCCAATCTTGTACGGTAAGAGTTAATTAGGTACAAATCCGAAAATTATTATTTTTGTTTACCATCAAAATAATTATATAATAGGCTCAAACTGCAGGTGTTAGAATGTTAAAATTTTTTGCAGCATTGACTGTTCAACAGAATAAATAGCTTTGCTGTTAATTGTTTGACAATTTTTTAAGAATATATCAAGTGTATAGTCTTTGTAACAAATGATTGATTGAAAATTTATACCTTTCATATAAAAATGAATATTATATACACATGAAGCAATTTAATAAGGTCTATACAATAACACAATTTTACAATTTAAATTAAAAATTGCTCATATATCTTAATTATTTTTTTTAAATATGTCTATTGAAAGAATTTTTTGTCCAGTTTCTAAACTTCGCCAAATTTTTTGTATTACTTTTGAATATAAAAAATCTGTAATTTTTTCATAATTTTTACATTTTGTTAAAAACGTATAATAAATCTTTAATATATGAATGGTTTTATTTATTAAGATTTAATGAAGAATCTATCATATATTAGAATCTCTTGATTATTTAAAAAATTTTTTAATTTTTTAATTTTTTAAATTTTTTATCTCTTTCAATTTTTTATTTCTATTAAAGAATCTACAAAGTTGCAAAATTCTTTAATTAATACAATTGATTTTGCCCTTAGTTCTTCATTGAATCTAAATGTATAAACAATCATATTCAAGAATTTTACAACAGTTGCAAAACTGCTTTCCCTGCTAAAAGCAATCGTTGTCACACGGAATGATTTTGCTGAAGTAAATTTCGTTAAAATAGATCATCAAAGAGTGATCAAGCATGATAAACAATGCTACAAAATAAGTTTTGACATTTTAGCAATTTCCATAAATTTGAACATCCATAATTATTTTAACGTTCAAACAAAATTATTTTCAGATCTGTATTTAGCTAAATTTTTAGATATTTCAGCAAAATCATCCTTTTGCTTAAATGCTTAAGCATGTCACTATTCATTGGAATCTATGCTGAAGATTCCGAATTAAAGATTAGAATTTGACTAGTCAGATAATTTTAATTTTAATCTGTGTTATTCTGATTGACCGAATTCTTCAATTCATAATCCTTAGTGTAGTGTGATATATACTTTAAATGTTCTACTTAATTATTTTGATAATTCAACGCAATTATTTTCAGATCTTTGCTAAATTTTTTAATATCTCAATAAAATCTTCTTTCTGTGTATCTTTCAATGTTCCTTTCGGTACTTGAATATAGGATAGATGTTTATTAAATTTGTCATATCGCGCAAAATGACTACAACAGATTCGTTTATTTAAAAAGTGTATAAAAATTATATAAAAATGTTACGAATGCAAAGCGGTGTACAGTGTTATCGTCGAGATTATAAATACTTATAAATACAATTGCTTTCGATACAATACATAACTTCGTTTCTTTTACATAACGTCGAAACGGTATTGATTATCACTGAAACCATTAGAAAATCTTGGACTAATGATTGAGTCGCTACTTGATTAATAACGTGAACTAATTATTTTTATAAAGATAAAAAATAATCTTCTGTAAATCTCCGCTTATGTATGTCTAGTTTAAATATCGCTACATTATTTGATTAATATCCACTAGCATGAAGACGGTATACGGAGAAAAACTCTATTGCACCTTACTTATAAGACGCTATTTTATAGTCAGTGCCTATATAATAAGTACTACATTAAGTATGTCGATATTATACGTTAAGTACATCCACATTTATCTAAAAAATATCATTAAACACAGTTTCTGATCTAATTTTGAATAACAGATTTGTGCAAAAGTTCACGCCTTGTATTCCGTAGCGTATCTAAAGTGAAAGACTTGCATTAATACTTTATATATATATATATATATATGTATATATATATAACAATGTATATAATAAAAAACTGACTTTATTGAATGGGAGGCTTAAGTAAGTTGGCACATACTTTCTGTATGAAATTGTTACTTTCAAAATGCATGCCGTGGTAAATCATGAATGAGTTCTTAGTACTATCAATCATGATCAAATATGGTCGTTACAAATGATAGATGAATGCCCAATAATGATATGTATGTAATATATAATGTATACGATGTAGTAAGATATCATACGAGGCTTCTTTATAATTCGAATTACAAAGTAAAAACTAAATACGTTCTCTCTCTCTCT